GAGCAATGCATGCCACTAGTTTCTCCATACAGGAGGCGTCTTGAAGCTGTCATTGCCAACAAAGTCTTTTGTACAAAGTATTGGATAAATTTCAGTAAAATACGTATGTTCAATACTTTTTCCCTGTGCCATTCCACATTATTACAAATAACTTCATTTCTGGACATTTATGGTTTGATTTCTTTGTATGTATGGATCACTTGGGTTGTTCCCGACATCTGGTGAAAATTTCATGTCATTAGCACCTCTAGTAATATATTTACTGAGATAAATGGTGACGTGTTCAATACTTATTTTACCTGCTGTATATGTTGGATTCCTTTAGTGGGGAAATTAGAATGTGATTTACCCTATAAGTATTTCAGTGCAGCTTTGGGACCACTTTGATATAAAAAAAGACTGCAATGCAATTTTTTAAGTTTACTATGTTTCAGAATAATGCCAAGGCCAGCATAAAATATGCGCTGCCAAGAATGACCTTAGTCCGTTTCTTATGGAGGAAAAAACTGGGTCTGCACCTGAGTGTCCCTCACATCTGTACACTTGAGAGTCTTTGCTGTAGTTATGTTGGTGCAGATGTTGACACAGATGTTGGCAACGTTAAAGTGAAATCCACTATTTTTCATCAAGTCRTTCTTTGTAGAAAATGTCTTTTTATTGCTCGTGTTAGAATGTAAATTTTCTCACACTGTGCAACATTTTTTGCCACCTAACCTCTACCTCACTGTGTCACTGACAGCTCTGAAACTGGGGAGGCTGACCTGCAGCTGGACGTGCCAGATTCAGTCACCTCTTGGGTCACGGAGGCTGTTGGCCTGTCTGCGGAGAAGGGACTGGGTTTAGCAGAGAGGACAGAACTACGGACCTTCAAGCCGTTCTTTGTTGACTTTACATTGCCCTACAGCCTAATCAGAGGGGAGCAGACCAAAGTTCCTCTCACTGTCTACAACTACCTGCCTACTTGTTCGGAGGTAAAAACTGTTGTCGCCTTAAAAGCAGCAAAAAGAATTACAAAGCAAATAAAATAAACTTCATCTTATGAGAGACACTTAATGGGGTTTAAACAGGGTTCCTGCAGATCCTTAAAAAGTCTTAAAAGGCATTGAATTCATCAATCTAAAAATAAGGCCTTAATTAGCCTTAAAATATCTTAAATCAATCTTTCAGAAGCCTTAAAAATGTTAACACAGTGTAAATAGGATGATTGTAATTCATCTCAAATATTAAAATAATTGGTAACATTTATTTTTTAAAATATTTATATGCAGACAGTCTCCTTTGACAACACTTCCTGTTACTTAGATGCAAATATCTCAACTGTCCATCTGAGCAATGTGAAATTTGTTTTGTAATATGTTAATAATGTTGTCATTTCAAAAACGTATTAACTGTTCTTACAAATTTTGATGCCACCTTCACTTAAGGTTTCATCTACAGCAACATGGGGTTAAGACCCCACTGTGGGTCCTAAAACTCCACATTTTGGGTTGTTAAACTGACTGCTAAGAATGTTTTTGCTATATTTGCTGAAAAAGCAGTTAGATCTGGATAAAAACAATTGGTCTATTATCAGTTTTTGAATACTTCAACCAAAAATACTTTGATTCATGAGTTTCTGCTACAGTTTTGTTTAATGTTTTTGTCATTTTTGTGTTTATTATGAAATTGGGTCTTAAATTTAATTTCAGTCGGTATTAAAAAGTCTTAAATTGAATTTGCTTTAAATTGTAGGAACCCTGTTAAAGAACAGACAACTATTTGATGTGGTGACTACAGATTAGAGAAGAATGTATGAAAACACATTACCAAATGTGCTGTATAAATCACTGTAACGATCTTTGCGTGTGCATGAGTGTTTAATTCTGCATTAAGCGGACTTGATGTCAGGAAATTGTTAAACAAATGAAGGATTCTTGTGGAAAGTAGTTCGACTCAGGTAGGCCCACAGGGCACAGAGATGCTTGAAATTCCAAAGGAAGGTGGGTAATGTGAGGAATTGATATTAACTCAAAAGTATTTTTTTCAGCACTTAACTTTGAAGAGCCCTCCAAGCTCTGTCCTGGCCCTAACTGGGTCCATCCTGCGCTCCATGCAGATGACATCATAATGTTTGCAGATGAGCCTGTTGCAATGATCTGTGTGCACGCTGCCCTGATGTCATTATTGGTGAATATGCAAACCAGAATAGCCCTTCCTTTGATGTCCACCCAAGCAACATGTGATTTCTATATTTCCTGGTCAGTTATTTATGACTTTATGAAGCGTGCAGATAAAGAACAGTTAAAAGATTCCTTTGCATTACGAAGCCTTGTGGAAATTGGACGATAAGTRCAACTTAATACTTCAGGGAGCCTGAGAAGCATTAGTCAGGCAGCATGGAAAATTTGCCATGTGATTTAAAAATTCTCTCTTCGCTTTCAGCGTTTTTTGTGTGCGAGCACGCAATTCAAAGGAGGCCTAACAAATGTGATGTCATCGCAGGCTGTCGGGGGAGATCAGTAGGCTCTGATTTGTGTTTTCCTCTCTTCTCGTTTCACAGGTTCATGTGAAAGTGTCCGTTCCAAAAGGCGTCAAATTTATTGGCCATCCTGGGAAGCACCATCTTACCAGAAAGAAGTGTGTTGCACCTGGAGAGGCTACTCCTACATCTATTGTGTTGTCTTTCACTGAACTGGGATTGGTTAACATTACAGGTGCCCTAGGAGAGCAATCACATAAAGTCTATCAGTTTGTACAAAAATGTTGTAATTTCTTCATCTATAATCATTTGTGTAAGTGTGGAGACATTGCCGTAGAAGTGACATGTTAACAAACAGCCTTTGCTGTTACAAAACCGTACCTGAAATCATCAAGCATGTAGAAGAAATTGAATTCTTTGAATTCATTCGGACGTTGAACTTTTCAGTGTGACGCCTTACTTAAAAGTCAAGTCCTTGACTCAGAGGATCTCTGATGGACAACGAGCTGAGTCCTGTGTAATCTGGTCCCCCACCCAGGTTACTAGTCCCCTCCTGAGCACATGTGAAAACAAAGCAGGCCAGCAGTGGGGGAGTAACCAGAGCTGAGCTGTGACACTCGGTGGCATGTTGATGAGTTTGCAGGTCACTGGCGGTCGATGGGCCCCCCATGACCCCATTCATAGTTCCCTGGCCCCTTGTGTTTCCTTCTGACTACACACGCATAAAGAGACTCCTCTGGCACTGTGCCACATTACCAATGTGCTCCTCATAAAGTGAACTGGGTGTCCCTCTGCAGTCATGTTTACTCTATCTAATGAATGTCAGTGTCAACAAATAATTAGGGATATGGCCTCCTCTGGGTATTACAAGGTTTAATTTGACCTTACAGATACTTTAAGAAATACTGAAATACTTTTTGATGCATGTCCCTTAACACGTTAGAATATAGATCTTGGATTTAAATCTCAACATAGCTCTGAGTCTGCCCTATTAAAAGTACATTATGTCATCACCATGTCTATTGATGCAAAGTGTTCTGTTGTTCGGTGCTGCTGGACCTTACACTTTTTTGATACCTTGAACTATGATGTCCTCCTGTCTTGTCATTATGTTGTAATATTTGGTTTAGCATTTAAATGAGTCATCTCTTATTTGACAAGCAGAACTTTTTCTATTGGATAATGCTTCTCTTTCTTGTGTTGTACCACAGGGCTCCATTCTTGGTCCTCATCTTTTCTCCCTGCACATGCTACCCTTAGGATCACTTATGGCCAGGCACCATTTTAATCACTTTTACCCACAATTTAAATGAAGGAAAGAGAGCGTATCATTTTTGGTGATGAAGCTCTTTGTAACTTTGGTGGTCTAACATACAATTTTAGCCCTAACCCTATTCTGAAATTAACTAAACAATTAGACTCTGTAAGTCAAGGTTAGTGTCAGACAATTGCATTTTTAATATAAGGTTAAGCCTGGGCCGAAAGGCAACCTAACATGCATGTTTTTGGTCAATGGGAGGAAGCCAGAGTATCCAGAGAAAGCCATGTGATCGAACTCAGTACCTTCTTGCTGTGAGGCATCAGTGCTAACCACTGGGCTGTTGTGCTGCCCGTCATGCAGCATGCACAGAGAGAAAAGGTGAGGACCAAGAAAGGAGCTGTGTAGCACACCACTCTTTACTTTGGGATCTCCCAATCCTCTCTCAGCCATCTTCAACTTGTCCAACACACTTCGGTCCATCTTTTAGCTGACACATCCAGACATGAGCACATCAGCTCTGTTTTATTCTCTTTGTACGAGGTGGCATTTTCATGTCTGCAGACTGGACCAGACGATTGGCCAGGGAGCCATGTCATTGGATGAGTCATGGCAGCTGCCATTTTTATCTATGATTTTCTACAGCCACACCAATTTGCTTTTATCCAAATTCGTTTTGTAACTACATTTGACTAGCCATAGACTGAACACCAGGCATACTGTGTTCTTGATGTCCTCCATTGTTTGGTGATGTCAAAAAATGATGTCAGAGAAATGTTGAGCAGCTGAGGTGCACTCACTTCCTGTTGGCACAGCTACAGCTGCCCGAGGGAGGCACATTCCCTCCTGATTAGCTGTCAAGAGTCTTGGTGCTTCCTCAGCCCAGTTCTCTTTCTTCCATTATTGCTATTTTCAATTTTAAGATACTGTATGTAGGTGTATGATAAATAAATACAATTAGAAATCCTTTTTTTTATTAAGGCACCCAGTATCTTGCAGTGACACTGACACGTCAAGATATCATATGATGAAAGAATGGAAAGAATGAGAACTGATTGTATTTTGTTTAACTTTGACAGCCCGTGCCATTGCCTACAATGCACCAAGCTGTTGTTCAGATGGACTCCTGACAGGCAAAATAGCAAATTATGTGGATGAACGGAAGATCTCAACCGGCCTGGATTATGTCCGCAGAACTGTCTTGGTGGAGGTAAAAAGATATTTACCATTGTCATTTATAGGAAAGATTTTTATATGTTTATATATCCATTAAGAACAGCACAAAATTTTGTGTATGATATCATCATGCACAATATCCCTGTTACAAAAGGACTACCGTATATTCTAAGTGCGATACATTCTTGCTCTGCACACCAATAAAATATTTAGACAATCTAATGGACCTGTAATGTAACTTTTAATACTATATAGGTTTTGTGCTTTGTGCTTGATCTTTTTCTCTCTCCCATGCTTCACTTGCAGCCAGAGGGGCTTCCCAGAGAATACACATACAGTGTTTTCTTCTGTCCTAATGGTTAGTGCAAATATGTTTCCGTTACCATATCTCTCTGTAGTTTTTCAAAATCCAATAGGGCATTAGAATTTTAGTAATGTGTCTTAATCTAGTCTTAATGTGTTCATAATGGTGTATTATGTAAACTAAACATAAGTGCATTTTGTGTTTCCATCTTTAGAGAGGATCCACATTTCCACTCCTAATAAGTACGAGTATCAGTATGTCAAAAAACCAGCCAAGATGGACCACTTTGAGGTGGCAGTGAAGACGCACAACAATGCTCATTTTGCCCTCTCAGCTAGTCCCCATGACAGCACAGGGATGCTTGAGATTGTATTAGGTGGCAGGCAGAACACACGCTCTTGGATTTCCTTGGGGAAAATGGGCGATCCTCTGGTCAGTGTCTCCACACCCGGTATTCTGTCGTGGGATGAGTTTCGCAGTTTCTGGATCAGCTGGAAGGGAGGGATGATACAGGTGAGATAATTGGGAAAATACCGGTTTATGTAGTACAAAACCCCTTTGCCTTGTTCAGTTGATGAGTTTATGCTCCAATATGCATAGACAGGCCACAGGATCTGTGTGTCAGGAGAACTTGTTCCACCAATCCATCCAAGGAATCAATTATAAACCTACAAATTTCAATCTTTTTATCTTCTTAGGTAACAATAGTATTATAGGGTTGACTAATTATGTGATTCTGTTGTCAATATTCTCAGGTTATATGAGGTTAAATGTTGTACCTTAGGTTTGTACCTGCAATCGTATTGCCATCACCAAATTATAGAAGAGAGATGTATYAGAAGGCAACTGTACCTCATGTTTTCTTGTGGAAATAATTCATGATCAAGGTTTTTTAATTAAAATGTCATCAGAGTAGTAGTTACTAAATAATGTAATGGCCTGTTTTGCAGATGGGCCATGGTGTATATCCATCCAATGAATCTATCATTCTGCAGTGGGCAGGCCAATTCCCTGGACAGGTTTGACTCTTTCATGGTATGACATACATAATGCATCATCCAAATTTAAAGAAAAAATTTTAAATGCTCTTTTTTTGTCTATTCAGGTGCAACACATTGGCTTTTCAACAGGGTGGGGCTCAGTTGGAGAGTTTAAGATCTGGAGGAAGGAAGACTCTGATGATGACCACAATGAGGCCTTCACACTGGGGGTCCCCCACAATATGGTGCCAGGATCAGAAAGGGCCACTGCATTTATGATCGGTATACTACAATATCTCTATTATCATGTTCACAGAACATTGGCCTCATCAAGAAGCAAGATTATTTGGCTGTGTAAATACTTAGTATGTCATTGTGTGTAACAGGGGATGTTATGGGACCAACTCTGAATAACCTGGATAAGCTGTTGAGGCTGCCCTTTGGGTGTGGTGAACAAAACATGATTCACTTCGCTCCGAATGTCTTTGTTTTGAAGTACTTGCAGAAGACCAGACAACTGACCCCAGAAGTTGAAAATGAAGCAACTGATTATCTGATTCAAGGTAAAGAAATGGAAACCAATCGTTTGTTATTCTTGCAGTTTCAATTGAGCATGTTGTGTCACCTTTTTATACTGGCTTAAAAATGAACTGCCTGTTTAATCTTTTGCCAAGAATTTGTGTTGATGGTCAGAGTCAGGTTCTGATAAACCTGATTCTGATTGACGCTGGGAGATTTAGACTTCTGCTAAAAGTCCTATCTAGCAAATCCCAAAGATTCTCAATGGGTTCAGGTCTGGAGTCTCGTGCTCCAGTGCTGAACCACTCCTCAGGTTCAAATTTAACAGTTTTAACCTGATGAATCCTGGTATTATCATCTTGGAACAAGTCTGTGCCATCTGAGAAGAGAAAATCCATTGATGGAATATCCTGGTCATTGAGTATTTTCAGATAGCAAGTTTGTTGCTGAACCTAGACTAGGCCAACTGTCCCCAGAGGTTTGTGCAGTAGGCACTAGGAATAATGGGTGCATCATTTCAGCTGCCTCTCTTTTCTCACCCTGATTTTCCCATCACTATAGAACAGGGTCAATCTGGACCCATCAGACCACATGACCTTCTTCCTTGCACAGTTCTTAACCTGATTCTAGCAGTTTTAGCAATCTCCTCAGATATTTTCTCTGCCTAATGCCAATAAATTGACCGTTCTGAAAGAGATTGTCTTTTCCATGACCACAGGATGTGCCTTTCAATATGGTTGTTTAACAAATGAGAAGCTGCTCACTGCATCATTTAGAGTTAAATAACTTGTTGCCAGCTGAAAGATAATTGCCCATGCTAWAATTATTCAATGGGAGGCTCTTAAACATTTGCTCAGTTAAATCCAGGTGGTGACCCTGTTTTGGGCTGGGCACCTTAGGCATTTTTGCATGGCTTGGTCCACCCCAGCTCCAGTCAGCCTGACCTTACTCTACTCCAGCCCTGGTTGTGTTTGGGTTGATCAGAGAGGCATCTTGATGTGGGCGGGATCATAATATTAAACATATGTGATCTTATTTCATTTTTTTGCTACAAAACAATAATGGACTACATGAAACTCAAAGGAAAGGTACAAAATATTGAACCGGACCATCCAGCAGTATGATGCTTAGGACGAGAGAACAGGATGACAGAGGACGATAAGCTAATGGTAGCTTGCTACAGTTGATGTGTAGTTAAACTCGTGTGAAAAAAGCATTATAATAGCTGCAAAAGATTCACATAAATTTACTCTCATCTATGTGATGTATCCCCCAGTCAGTGAACCAATCAATGAGCAACACTTTCTGATGTTAAAGCAGGAYGAGTAGCCCCACCTGATTGGATCCACAGCTTCTGAAGTTCCAGAAATCGGGGTGGACCTGGGCCATAAGGGCTAATGCAAAAACACAGAACTTGGGTTTAAACCCAGGCGGTGCAGTTAAAAATGTCTTTTTGGGTATATACAGAAAAAATAAATTAATTTAAAAAATGTATATACAGTATATATATATATATATATATATATATATATATATATATATATATATATAAGTCTGTTCTGACCAATGTTTTTGCCCTCTCTGTTCTTATCATTCAGGCTACCAGAGACAATTAACCTACAAGCGTCAGGACGGATCTTACAGTGCTTTTGGTGAAAGGGATTCCTCCGGCAGTATGTGGTGAGTCACGGTACATGTGATTCATATGTGCACAGTTCATAAGATATGTTTAGTTCATCAGCTTTAACTGGCAACATAAGCAGTTGACGAGCAGAAAAGTTTTTCTTAAAATGTTATTTTACTATGGTTTAATGAATCTATTCCTGTTACAATTTTACAATAGTGTTTATTTTGTTTTTAAGCAGGCAGCCTTCACATTTCCAAAATGATAAAACAGAAATATTCTCTCGCAGCGGGAAGTTCCTCTGCTTGTATTTTAACAGCCCGTTCACAATGTGCATTCCTTCAGTTGATTTATGARCTGAGGTGGGTATTATGATCTTTACTAGAGCTAACACTGTGAAACAGCAGGTTAAATAAACGACACAGAGTCATAAACAGACTGCGTGATTGGATCCTGAGGCAAGCAAAAAGTCTAGATTTATTTGCAGTTTTGCTGGGTTCATATCCCAGCAACACAGTTTAGCTACACAGCTTTTGACCCCACAAACAAACTCTTTTGGAGACGGTTGTCTGGAGCCACTTCACCAAATGCATCCCTATCGTTTTCTGACATTTCTCGGAATATGGAGGTGGTGCATGTCTCCTAATGACCCACTAACTTGTCGTAATTGGTGACATAAAACTATCTTGGGAAGCGTGGATCTTCTTGACAGCTATGATGGGATATAAGGATGCAATACGCTATACTTAGGCGTTTTTATTTGGTGCTCAAGGCAACAAGAATGGCACAACACACAGAGTGGACCGTCAGTAAACCGGCACCAGACACTTCATGAATCAATCAGTGACATACTTACATCCAAAACAAGCCCAGGTTTTGTTTTAGTTTCAGACTTCATGTGTAGAGCAGTGCTTTAATTGCTTTCCTAAAACCAGATGTAATGATGTGTTAATGTTTCCCAGCATGTAAAACATATTGCAGTAAAAACTGATTGGGATTTAGTAATCCGAACAACAGCTGGCAGTATTAGGTTGGTGTACAGTAATATGCTGTTACGTTTCAGAACAAGGACAGAATGACTTTAAAACTAAATCTACAGGAATATCTTGAGGTCATCAAGGCAGGTAATACATTTGGAAGACAATAGGTGACCCCTAACAACATGCCTGTTGCAAAAGTCTCTTGTTTGTTTTTGCCATTTAATTCAGATGTAATTATAAAAATAGCTATAGACATTTTCCATACCTTAATGAATCTGTGTGAAATGCAAAATATGGACTAGCTGTGTTTTGTGTTTTTACTATTGACTGTTTTATTCCCTGCAGAATGACAAATAGCAGCTATAGACATACTTTTTTTAGATTAAACTCCAAGCTCAAAAATGAAACAAAAAACATATTTTTTCCCTAACAATAGGGGCTTCAAGTATGTAAAGTGAGCACAAATAAAACCTGTTTYGCATTACAAGACAACTAAAAAGGTTCAGGGTCATCTTAAAAGTTCTGCTGTCCTACCAAGGTGGTTTTCTGTGTTGGATTTCTACCCCAGCAATCTGATTTCTTCAAAAGGCAACAGAGGATGGCTCAAGCAAATCCTGGTTTTATAAAAGTCTTTGTTCTCATATAAAAACAATTCTTTATATAGAGCCTCCTTTGATCATAAGTAGAAATATAATTTGAGGTCATATAATTAGCTGTGTGAAGCTGACACCCCACCCACGTCAAAAAATCCATCAAATAGTCAGAATCCTTAGTGCTCCGTTTGTGCAGGTTTGTGCCGTTAAAAGTGTCGTTTGTGCAGTTTTGGTTTCCGAGATATTCAATATTATATTTTTTGGTCATGTAGAGTTCACCATCACCCCATATCGCTCCAAAAACAAACCAAAGTGGGCTAGGTCGTTAGTGCTCCGTTTGTGCAGGTTTGTGCAGTAAAAACTGTCGTTTGTGCAGCTTTTGTTTTGGAGATATTAGCAGTTATAATTTCGGCCGATGACGTCACCATTTCGGAGGTTGCTGGGGGGACGATGATGTCATCGCGTTAAAGTAAAAACTTGTAATATCTCAAAAACTATAACARCACAAACGSTCATTTTAACTGCACAAACCTGCACAAACAAAGCACTAACCAATCCGCTTACTTGTTTGGATTTTTTTGTTTGGGTGGGGTGTCAGCTTCACACAGCTCATATAATTATGTTTCCTTTGTTTAGGAAACTGCACACGTGGATTCACAAACACATTGGTATCTGTGGGCAGCAGGTGTTGTGCTTAGTTTTATTTACAGTGCGGATGGAGAAACAGGTGGAAGAGAGACACCAGGAATAAGTTGACGGTTTAGAGAAAGACTGTCTATAAATTACAAAATGAAGCTTTAATATTTAACATCAACAAATTTGTTTTTGTTTTCTTCTAAATTAGATCAGACATTCACATTTTTTTAATGTCCCTCCAACAGGGGTGTAAATCACCAGCTTTATCATGATACAAACTTGTATGTGTACAGAAAATGGATGGATGGATGGATGGATGATAAGATGTTTCTCGATATTACAAAGTCAGTCATGATATGGTTTCGATTCACTTTGATTGTGATTGATCTGACGCAATATCATTTGCCCATCTAAGACAAATATTGTGTTAGATGATGATCCACATCGGGCATATGATGATAAAATGGATCAATGTTTTTGTTTTACTTTGATGTAATTTAATCATTAATAATTTAATTGATATACATGTATCAATGTGTATTGATGCATTGTTAAACCCTACCCACCAACATGTAGTTTAGAAAAATTCACAAAAACAGTTTTACGACCAAACAAGCGGACCAACGGACTTTCCTGGTGTGAATACACCCTAAGAATTTAAAACCAGTGGCACATAATGCGTTAAAACATTTAACACAGGGAGGGGCGCCACATGAGCATTACGGTGGCCCTCAAAGGGTTAGCTGTAATGACTAAACACAAAATGTCACGGTCCTCCTCTTATTGCTAAATTTGAGCACAACTAGCAAACAATAACTGAGCTTTATGTGGTATTTCCTGCATAGAAACAGCATTTTAGCACATCCTCTTATAAACACTTAAAGGTACAGAATACAGAAATACTATTAAAAGCAAGAGTTTTACTCACTGTTGACTTGTGGTGAGTGGCTGCCATCTTKAATTCTGGACCCTCCCAGTTTCCAACAGGAAATTCACAATGGAGTGGCGTTCCAGTTTAAATTTACGAGTAGTACAACTGGGCCGCCCTAAAAGTAGCCAGAGAAAAGGCAGTGAAACGATGATTTTACACACGCTGGCTACTGACTACTTTTGAACCCTGTGAACTTTCATTTAGGGATGCTGTCATTTTGCGTGTACAATAATCAACATGCATGATGGGAGGGTACTTTGTCAATGCTGCCTTTAAAGTAGTATACTCTTCTTTTAAGACATTAATATATCTTTAAAGCTTTTGCTTACCAAATAAAATGCTGTGGTGGGCTACATTTGGCCTGTGGGCCTTGAGTTTGACACATGTGTTTCAACATGTTTGTGGTCACAGTGTAGTCCCAAGAGAGGAATAATTCAGGTTACAATCAGATTATGATTTCATGTACAACAAGCTCCAATAAGAAACTACAGCATCATTGCTAACGTCAACACTATTTTTTTTCTTTAGCACATACAAACAACAGAAGTTAACCAAAGTGCTTTAAAGTTCAGTCAAAGAAAAAAGTAAGCCAACAATAAAAGCAGAGAAATATAAGACATATTAAAAGGACAAGTGAAGTTAAAATAAAACACAAAAACACACCATAAACCCATCAGCTTTAATTGGTGACCTGTTTGTGTACTCCATTTCCATCTCGTTTTTCCTCCTTCTCGGTAAACAACTTACCTCATGCAATAAGTCATTGGTGCTCAGGGGTGCCGTCACTGAGCAAGTATTGGCCAAAGACAGCAGCTTTCAGCCACTACTGGGAGGTCTGTTGTTTATGGAAGATTGTCTGTTTATTAGCTCAGCCGTGTACCCAGGGCTGACCCGCGCCTTTCTCCATTGCTCCCCTGATTCTTCTCCACCTCGGCCCACTAAAACAAAATTGTGGCTCATAAACTTTCAGTTGGGCTCCGAGGCCAGCCAGATTCTCAGACCTTCAAGTCCGGCGATTCGTGCTTGCATAAGTTGAGGAATGTTTCAGGGGAATCTTTGACTCACAACCAGAAACATTCTCGATCAGCCCATGTGCGCGTTCACATTCTCAGGAGCACAGCTGCCGCATCTTGTTGTACTGATCAAACTGTGCCGCACCCAGCTGCTCCCCTCCTCATTCCTTTCTTTATTTCATCAAATCATCCATACATACCAGTCCTCTGATTACATACTGGAAGTGTGTGACATGTTGAATAATTTCCCCGGGACTTTCTAAAGGAGATGTCTCATAAGTCCTGTGAAGTGTGGCAGCATGCCTGTTTTCAGGTGTTTCCCAGCACACGAAGATCTCTTTCCATTTTTTATCCACTTCTCCACTGTCATCTGTCTTTCCTTTAGGTTGACAGCATTTGTGCTGAAGTCCTTTGCTCAGTCTCGTGCTTTTATCTTTATTGACCCCGAAGAGCTTCGTGCAGCAAAGTCCTGGCTCATCAGACATCAGAGAGATGAGGGCTTCTTTCCTGCTATGGGACGCATCCTGAACAAAGACCTGCAGGTAGGTCTGTGTTTGGATGAATATGGAAGAAAGCACTTCGGCTTTCAGTGAAAGTAAAAGAGGCAGAAATTCAGAAGTCAGGTCAATTGCTGTACTAATAATTTGCATAACGTTATACAGACAWTTTTTTTCAAATGCATTTAATAGTTGTTTGGATATAATGATGTCAAGAAACCTGACTTATTCTTTTCTCCTCAGACTTGTGACAGAAGGATTTTTTTCAGTATTGTCAAAGTAAATTAGAAAATGTATCTTATTTTTCTTTTGCTTTTTGCAATTCCAGTTTTGCCTCTTCTATGCAGCACTTTGGGTTGTCTTTATTTAAAAAGTGCAATATGAAGAAAAAAAAACAATTTAAGTCAGGGTTGTCATTCTCCTTTTCACCACATGACCATGGTGGTCCTCAAAGGGCCACATGTAATTAACTTTGTTTCATGTTTAACTTTGAATAAATACGAATCATCACGTTCCTCATCTCACTGCTACATCTGAGCACTGCTAACAAACAATAACTGAGCTCTACATGGTATTTCCTGCATAGAAACAGCATTTTAACACGTCCTCTTATAAACACTGAAAGGTAATACATGTATGACTGACTAAATGTGAAATAAAAAATACAGAAATACGATTAAAAGTAAAAGTAAGAGAGTTTTACTCACTCTTGAATTGCGGTGACATCTTGAATTCTGAACTCTCCCATATCCCAACAAGTAATTCTCACTGGAGGGGCATTCCAGTTTAAATTTACAACTTGTAAATGGAAAATTCCCACTTCCCAGTACAACTCTGCCGCAAGAAAAATAGCCGACCAAATCCGACGTGTAAAATCTCCATTTTACTGCATTTTTACAGTGAGAAGTGGGCTACATTTGAGCCCTGTGCACCTTCTCTTTGGGATGGGATGTCGTGCCTTTGCAGATAAAATAATCAACGTTAATTAGGGGAGATGTAGTTTATGGTCAGTGCTGGCTTGGCGGGCCACGTTTGGCCCACGGGCCTTGAGTTTGACACGGGGGTTAAGTAGACCAAGTATAATGAAGCAGTTATGTTTAGCCAGCCACCAAACAGAGTGTTGATGTTCTGCTGACAAGTCTCACTGCTGGAGAGTAACTAACACTCCAGCAGTGAGGGATTCCATGCAAATACAGTATGTAACTTTTATTGGTTTTATTTCATTTCAATAATATTTTTGGATTTTGTCTGTAGGGAGGTATCCACGGGAAGATTTCTCTGACAGCTTATGTCGTCGCAGCTCTTTTGGAGACGGGGATAACCACAGAGGTAAGAAATCCAATACCATGACCTGACTGAGCGTACTTTTCAGTTTGCGGTCACCTATCAGAGAGAAATGTTTCATGCTGGATTAGTTTCTCAGAACAAGCTCTAAATGAACATAAAAGGGGAGTTGAATTCACCATTTTTACCAAATTTACTGGTGTGGATTTTATTTTTTTTAGTGTTTAGTCAGCTTGAGTGTTTGCTGATAGAGTTGTAAACTGACTAAGTACAAATACTTTGTTACTGCACTTAAGTAGAATTTTTGGGTATCTGTACTTTACTTGAGTAATTCTTTTTGAGCCTACTTTTTACTTCTACTTCTTACATTTTCACACAGTTATCTGTACTTTCTACTCCTTACATTTTTAAAAAAAAAAGCAAGAAGTAGAAAGTCGTTACTTCTATTTCATTTTTGCTTGTTTTCATTCCAGCTTGTTATTGTAAAAAATAAATACTATCCATACAGATTATGCCTAGATAGAGTGAATTTAATTGTGGTTAAATGAGAAGTATAAATATATAAAATTCTGATACTGTATTAGTTTGTACACAAACAAATCATGTCCCACTCCAGCAGGACATAATCATTAAAATAAAAGGACTGTACTTAAGAAGTTTTTGTATTTTATTAATTATGTTATTTAATTTGGTCGCAGCCCTCAGATAGATTTTTATTTTAGAAAAAATTTGGTCAGCCTTGATATATGTATATAAGCTGAAACAGTACATCCTAAATTTAACATAGAATAATTATTTTTAATACAACAGTCATTTCTGCATTTTTTTGGGGAGGTCACCTCTTAATAAATGTCATTACAGAAAATCTATCTGCTCATTTTAAATCAAAACTTTTACTTTTAATACTTAAGTACAAAAAATATCAGATACTTTAAGACTTTTACTCAAGTAGTATTGCTAAATGAGACTTTAACTTTTACCAAAGTAATTTTTTGGTAAGATATTTGTACTTTTAATCACTTTGTGGTACTTTATACAAMATTGGATATACTCCAATACTCATAGCCCAGCCTAGCAGTCCTGAGTCTTGTACAGGCGTATCGCTGCATTCCTGTTGTTGTAAAGATGGATGTGCTGGCAGTCTGCCCACGCAGATTTCTTATGCTCCATTGCTCTTAATGTAATGTCTAATCACGACTGAACTACTTCAAAACATTCAGGCTGACATGCAGAGGCAGTTTAGACCCATCAAAGAATCCTTCCTTGGATTTCTCATTTCAGCTCCTTCAGCTGAATAGTTAAATGTAATTTATTTAAGTTCTTTTTATTACCTTGTATATATTTTCAAAAGCCAGGCATTCAAAATTTAAAAAGGAGTGGTTGCATAAAAGGGATAGTGTTGTAAAAATGTAAAAACCACTAAACTAAATGCTTTTGTCTCCACTCACTACTTGCCCCTAAATTTTATTCCTCTCCCTGGCCCTTTTCCCTACATTCATCTCCCCATTTTTGCTCCACCTATCCCAAAAAGGGTATTCTTCTGAAAATGAGCCCTTTTAGCACAGATAAAAATGAAAAGGTGTTCTTCACTTCAAAGCCGTACCTTCATCTCCCTTCCAATTTCACTTAATTAAAAGATGACTGCTGCAATTGCAGTGAGTAACTCTCGAGGCCTCTCATTTTGTGGATAAGAGGGAAGGTCACATCTGCATGAGATGAAAGTCAATTTGCAACATTTTTTTTAATGAACGAAATTAATGTTTATTCAACCAAAGTTAGACCAAAAGTATTGTTGTCCAGTTATAGGAGGAGGCCTCTGAACAGCCAAATAAGAGGATGATTATCATAATGTGTGCATTTAAGTACGTCAAAGGTTACAGTTTGTAAAAAGTGAGGAATGCAAAAATATATTTTCTGTATTTCTTATTGTTCTTATTTGTTAAACAAGTTTAAAGTTGTTGACTGTGGTAAACAAGAAATGCCTAAATGTATCCTGGTATTCAGATTCTGAAATATCTCTCTTTAAAATACTTTATCTACCAAACATTTGAAGCTGAAATTGCCAAATATTAATTGCTTCTTCATCTTTTTTTGGGCTGTCCCATTTTGTACAGGAAGAGAAGGTAGCAATGGCCAAAGCCAAGGATTTTTTGGAAAGCAATGCATACACTGCCAATGATCCCTACACCACTGCTCTGTCTGCGTACGCCTTGGCTTTGCTTCGCAGCCCTTTTGCCCCGCTGGCTTTGCGCCGCCTCAACCACATGGCCATCACTCAAGGTATTATAGCATTCCGTTTCACCTACGCAACAGACAAGGTGTTAGACTGCCACAACAAAACAAAACAAAAAAAGAGTAAAAAAAGTGCCTGATTTATAGTCCATAAGATGTAACACAATGTGTCTATTTGGTGCAATTACATGACTGATGTTGCATATTTTTCTACTTACACGGTTCCCATGGGTCCTTGAAATCCTTAAAAGTTTGTGAATTTGAAAAAATTATTTCAAGGCCCTGGAAAGTTTGTGAAAACTGCAAAAGATTACACTTGTCCTTGAAAGTCCTTGAATGTTTTTGGTGGATTGAAGTACTCTTTACACAACTGATTTTCAGCATCTATAATAAAT